TAAAGGCAAGACTGCAGTGAAGGACAGTGGATCCTTCACAGTGAATCACAGACCATATGAATGGGAGTAATGGCTCCTAAGTCTGAAGAGGTAGGCTGGAGCCAGGTTGTGAAGAGGAGTTGGCATTTGGTACTAGAGTTCTGGCTAGCAGCTGGTGGCCCAGTGCATAGACCGTGGGCCTGGTGTCAGGAAGAACTGAATTCCTATTTGACCTCAGATACTCTCTAGTTGTGAGGAAGTCACTTAACCTGTTTGCCTCGGTTTTCTCAACAGTAAAATAAAGATAGCAACAGCACCTGCTTCCTAAGGTCCTCGTGAGGATCAAATGAGATAATATTTGTAAAAGCATTTAGTACAATGCATGGCACATAGTGGTGCTATATAAGTGCTTTCTTGCCCCACCCTTTGTTTTAAGATCTATACCGGGGTGAGGAACCTGCGGCCTTGAGGCCACATGTGGCCCTCTAGGTCCTCAAGTGCAACCGTTTGAATCCAAACTTGACAAAACAAATCCCCTTAATAAAAGGATTTGTTCTGTAAAACTTGGACTCAGTCAGAAGGCCATACCTAAGGCCCTAGAAGGCTACATGTGGCCTGGAAGCCCCAGGTTCCCCACCCCTGGTCTATACAATTATCAAGGGCATCCTTGATGAAAATATGAAAAGGGATCAGACAGGTATTTTTCTTTGGGAAACTATGCCTTTATAGTAACACTTGTCTGAGAGATGAAAAGATTGCTTAATGGTTTTGTTTTTTTTTTTAAATCCTGTTCGAAACAATGTAGGGTTAAAGTTCTCCTAAAACAAATTTCTATCTTATCCTTAATGCCTGTCATTAGAGAATACTCTAATCTTATAGTTACATTTAGATGCCACACGGATGATGAGATGCTTTAGCAGTGAGCCTGGTGAATAAACCTTTCAAGTCTCTCAGACTGGGAAGGTTCTGAGTGTGGCACCAGCACAGAGCATGTGCCTTCTGAGTACTGCCCCAGCTAAACTCAGAGAAAGTTATCATCAGAAGGTTGGCCACAAGCTCGATGAATTTTGTCAGAGTGAATCAAAATATAATTCAATTCAATAAGTATTTATTGTGTCTGCTATGTTCCAGGCTCTGTTCTAGGTCCTGTGGATATAAAAATAAAAGGAAAATAACCCCTGCCCTCAAGGAGGTTACATTTAGCTAGAGAAATATAGTTTGATGAGAAAATAAAAAATAATTTGGATTTGGGGCTAGGGAGAGTGTACTGACTGAGCATACACACACACACACACATCTTTTGAAGTTTGCAAAATACTTCATATAATATATCTCAGTTGATCCTCACATCTGCCTTGTGAAGTACTATAGCATTATCTACATTTTATAGACGAGGAAACTGGGCATAGGTCAAGTAACTTGCCCAGGGTCACCCAGCTGGTAGGTGCCAGAGGCCATGTTCAGACTCCAGTCTCTCCTAACTTGAAGAGCTTCCTGACTCTTTACTCATCCATATTGTGTTATCTAAGATGACCATCACCCTAGGAACAGAAGAGTTGTGATGTATATCTCTGTACAGAATACCCACGCTGATGGCACTGATGAAGTAGAATAATGAATAAAAGTAGGGTAAATTAGTTTAAAAAGGATTGGGAAGGAAAATACATGTACATACTAACATGTACCTACTTGACTGGGCCTGTGGCTAATCCCTCCCTAACTGCAGATGGCACCTCACCCTGGGGTCACACAAGGTGCTGGAGGCCTTTCTCTAAATCTCTTTAATTTGTACTGTAAGTACTACGGGAGTACAGAGACTGTCTGTCGGCTAACTTCCCTGCATATAGGACTAGCCCACCTCCTTTTCCAGTCATAGATCTCTGACGACATTCTCTACACTACTGCTTCTGTGCAATTCGTCATTGATATTTTCTACCACACTCCTACCATGTGCCTTTATTTTCCTTTGGAAATATGACTTACAGTCACAGAACATACTAGAAAGGTTTTGATTTTGTCTTGGGTACAGACCTTTGATTTTATCAGTGTAAAGAACTCTCTTGTATGAGAATGCCCTCCATCAATGTAGATTGGCAACTCATCTGTATCTTAATAGTCTTAGTCAAGGTGGGACACCTGCGGCCTCAGGGCCACGTGTGGCCTTCTAGGCCCTCAAGCATGGCCCTTTGACCGAATCCAAACCCCTGGTCTTAATTATTTGGAATCCCAGAAGTTTAAGAAACTTGCTGATAATCCAACAGCTAATATTTTTCACAGGTGGAATTTAAATCCAGGTCTTCCTCACTCTGAGACTGGTGCTGTATCCACTGACTAAACCGTGCTACATAATATTAAAAAAAGAATGGACTTTTGTTTCAGGGAGAAGTTTAAAGTCACTAGAAGCATTGCACAGTTTCTCAAAAACAGTTGAAGCCACTGTCTTAATGACTTGTGTACATGTATTTAACATCTCTAAGTTTTGGGGGTTTTTTTTGCATAGGCAACCAGGTTAAGTTACTTGCCCAGAGTCACTCAGCTAGTAAGCGTCAAGTGTCTGAGGCCAGAATTGAACTCTGGTCTTCCTGATTCCAAGGCCAGAGATCTATCCACTGTACCACCTAGTTGCTCCAAATCTCTAAATTTTTTTTCTTGATTACGTAACTATTATATACATTTCAGATTATACCTGTATAAATCAATTTGCCAAAACTGGTAAATATAGCCTTTATTTCCCTATATTTTGTTTATTCTTTGACAGTTCCACCTATCAACAGTAAGAGTAATGCAGAGGTAGCAAAATCATTTCCTATTTTTTTCACACACAAGAGCCCCTGTAAATTATTTTAAAGCTCTGTGAAATCCTCTTGAAAACTTAAACTGCTTAACTTGGGACAGATTATATTAAAGATTAATTAGGCTCTTTACATATAGTAACATTTTTAATGTACTAAGGTTTAATGTACTAAGGTTTTTTTTTTTAATTTAATGTCTTCTGTACTTTTTTGTAAGTAAATTCTTTGTAAATAAGCTGTCACCTGTATCTTTATTGCTAGTTAAGAAAACTTTTTTTTTTTTTTGGCTAGGCAGTAGGGTTAAGTGACTTGCCCAGGGTCACACAGCTACTAATTGTTATGTGTCTGAGGTCAGATTTGAACTCACGTCCTCCTGAATCCAGGGCCAGTGCTCTATCCACTGTGCCACCTAGCTGCCCCAAGAAAACTTTTAATAATTCTATTTCTACAAATCAATATAATGGTAGTATTGTTACTTCTATCAGTCATGGCTTTGTTATGTTTTCTCTTGGCCATATTTGTATGCAGTTTCTGTATTCCTAGCATATGAAAACTGCAAAATGCAGCTTACATACATACTACTTAAATAAGATATTGTCTCCTACACATGCTTTCATTACTGTTTTTGGCATTTTGAATATAACTGAGAGGAAGAATTTTTATGCAAATAGTTTTTTCTGATTAAATTTCTAAGTATATTTTCAGAAGGCAACTTATTTTTTAATAATATCTCAAAGTAACTAGATTTACCTTTAAAAATCCATTGGGTACATAATGACTAATGGTAAAATACGCTTAATATGAATGTATAAGTAGAGCCTTTATCAGATTGTACACCATCTTGGGGGTGGGGGAGAGAAGTGGGAAAGGGAGGAAATTTAGAATTCAATCTTATGGAAGTGAATGTTGAAAACTAAACATAAATAAGTTATTTATAAAAAAAATCCATTGGGAAGGCATATATAAAACTTTTTGTTTCTAAATGCTTACAGATTTTTCCCCCCAAGTGTATGTGTGTGAAAGCAGGGGGAGGGAGGGCGTTAGATTTGAGGTGAAGCGAGGAAAGGCTAGTATAGTCTAAAGTGTCAAGGCACCTGGAATTAAAGAGATTGCTATAACCTGTGAGTAGGGCATTCCTAGTTCATATATTTCTTCTACTTCAGAATATATCAAAATCAAGAATTGTGTTCAAATACAGTAAGTATTCTTTGGGAATCAGTCAGACAATGGAAAGAAACCGTGATACTTTATCCTGTGTTTGTTATCTTACCAAACACAGCACCTCTACTTGGTAGGTCAAGGAAAGGGGATCCCTTTACTCTTAGTTGGCAAAGGGATTTGATATCTTTTTATTTGACCAATTTGACCATTTGGGGAAACACAAAGTGTGATAAATAAAAGGGAAGAGACAGAAAACCATAAAACAGAACAGGCTCTGTACACAACTGAATCACCCATGCTAATTCCTGTAGGAGTCTAGGATAGTGTGTTGGAAAGAACACTGGATTTAGAGTTCAAGGACCTTCATTCAGGTCCCAGAAATGTCACTTAGCTTCCTGTGTGAGCGTGGCAAAGTCTCTTCATTTCTCTGGGCCTCATTTTCCTTAGTTGTAAAATAAGGGGGTTGGACAGCCCTTTCAGTGCTAAACCTTTGACTCCAAGGCCTAAAAGGAATTGTTATGCCCAAAGACACCAAAATGTGAGAAACTCTTGTATAGTATTTAACATTAGGCTATCTTCACTCATTGTATCAACTAAGCCTTGTATTTTAGACCTAAGAAATAATAATGCTGTCCAAGAAATAATAAATAGTTGGTATTTGTCTGCATATATTCAGTAGTTAGTCAATAAACATTTATTAAACTCCAGTATACTAGGCACTATGCTAGATGCTAGGGATAAAAAAGGAGGCAGAAGGTACTTCTTTCCCTCAGGGAGCTCACAAACTCATAGGAAATGTCTGAGGTTTCCCCAACGTAGAATGTAAGCTCTTTGATGACAGAGATTGTTTAATTTTTAAATTAGTATCTCTAGTGCCAGCCACTTAGTAGGTACTTAATAAATGCTAGTTGAAAGGAATGATAGTTTTTTGAGTTATTTTGTAGCCTGAAGGAGAAAGTTAGATAAATATATATTTTGAAGATTTTGATTGAGGATACAACACCTATTTTATAATATATGCATATAAATGCTACATATTCTAAAATTATTCATTTACTTATTTTACAGAGGAGGACAAATATAATATTTACTCCAATTTGCTCTTCAAGTATTTCTTGGCTGAGGGAATAGTCTGTGGGCATACTTTGTTGGTTGCCTCTGCTAAAGAAGACCCTGATGACATTTTACAGGTATGGGAAATACTTCTTTAATGCGTGAAATTGTAAAGATTATGTATGCACGTATGTCTTTGAGCATATTGCTTTTTAAAATTAACCCTTTACAGTTCAGTCTAGCTTTAGAACTACTAGAAGAACCAGGAAAGTTGGTGAATTGTCCAGATTAATACTGAGAGTTAGTGGCCAGTCTGATCCTGTAACCAATGTCCCCTGAGTACCACTTTACTTCTGCCACATTGATTGTTTTTAAAAAATATCTAGGTTTAATACACTTGGAGGTTTTTTAACTAATAAAAAATCATATTGAACACAAAATAGGCACTGCAAAACATTTTATTGGCTTAACTTTTCCTTTTTGTAGTATTCTATTATTCCTTTCTCAGTTTCACTCATATTTTTGATGTCTTTATGATTTCTGTCTATACTGTAATAATTGAATGAGTCTCATGAAATTTTAGTCAGATTTTCTTTACCTTTCAAGAGCAGTCCTTATATTTGAAGTATTCAGAAATTTACTAACTTAGACAACAACATTCCTCTTGGTAGACCACTTATTTTATTATTGAGGAATCCTTTTACTTGGACTAACATAGATGTCTTTTGACTGAGAATATGTTCTACTGTCATTATGGCCATTATGTTTTATCTTGTGCACTTAGAAAGAATGTATTCCTGATGACATGATATAATTGCTGCCATGAGCCATGTAATAGTCCTGAATAGTGGGTTTTCTTTATGTAACATAAAAGGTGCCCTGTAGCAGTTGCAAGTTTTTATTTGTTCTGTTTGCAACATACAGCTTGAAAGATGTTTATATTTAATTAAAAAATTTCATTTACATGACAATTTTATACTTGTCAAAAATGTACTCGGTGTCACTAAGTTTTCTAATGATTAGAGAAGTAGACTTGACCTTTTGTGGATGCAAACTGTGGTATTTGGGCATTGCCAAAAAAAAAAAAAAGAAAATAATCCCTTTTTTAAACCTGTGATTTCACTGGCAAGCGACTTCTTGTGAAGATACTCCCTTTTTGACACCTATGCATATTTTCAGCTGTTCACAGCTTGTAGACTAGATGTTTCCTGGAGCCCTGAGAGGTTAAGCAGTTGGGCCAAAGTCACACAACCAGCATATATCAAAGGCAGAGATGGAACTTTAACCCACTCTACCACACTGTCTCTTTGGACTCAGTGTATAATTATTTTCCTTTACTTATTTCCACTTAAATTTAAAATTAATTTGAATTATGAAATCAATGTTGAAAGTTTCTACATATGATACTAATGTGCCTACTATTTAAAATAATTTAAAAATAATATTACTATTTTTACATACTGTAAAGCTGTTATTTTGAAAGTATATGGCTTTTTGTTAGCTATGCCCATATTTGACCTAATCAGCAATTTTCAATTTTGTAAGGGCAATATTTACTATTTTGCTTTCTTATAAACACGTTTTGGATGAGGGTGTTATATCAGTACTGCACAGTATCACATTGTCAGTTGCCAAAAAATTCAGAGCTTCACTTTTTTTTGGATAAGAAAAAAAGAATTATCCCACTTAATGTTCTTAAATGTTTTAGGAGGGTGATGTATGATTGAAAATTATGATCAAACAAAATTTTAATTAGAATAGAGATAAAATGAATATCTCTTCTAGAATAGTAAGCATAACCTTTGTGACCCATGTCTAATGCTTACTACCTGAATCACCCTAGGCAAATGACTTAACATTGCCGGGCCTCAGTTTAATCATCTGTTAAAAGAAAAAAAAGAGGTTTGATTGGGTGACCTCCAATGTCCCTTCCAGATCTATATCTGTAATCCTGTGACCTTTAATAAGCTGTCATTTTGATGAAAACTAGCAGCTTTATGTAACATGGCAATTTTATACTAAGAAAACTATATTATGCTAATAACCTGGCTTCTATAAAATATTCAGTGTCAATATATCCAACATTTTAATAATAATAACATATTTAGAAATTTACCATTATGCAAACATTCTTTACAAATGAGTGACCAAAACCGAGGCATTAGCAGTGTTTACAAATATGGACAATAATGAAATTCAGTAATTGCTCTGCTTTAATTTTATGATGTATGATTGGGAGTTTCTTGAACCTATAACCAAGACAAATATTGCTGATACAAGGAAGGGGAAAAGACAATCTTATAGACCATAATTATCTTAAAACTGTGTATAACTAAAAGACAAGTAGAGGATAAAAAGCCCCATCAGCTGCCTAAGATATATTATATTACCACCCAGCAATTTATCCATCATCCTTTGAAAACATATTCATGCCTATTGTAGTCAAAGCTCCTTCAGGAAGTCAGCATTAAGATGTTACACTGAAAAATTACACCCCTGTAGAAAATCCTATAGAACAATATACATGATGTTTTTTAAAAGCATTTTAAACACATATGCTGAGCATTTTTTTTCAGTTAATACACTTTTATCTAAAAGAATACTTATGGACCTCTTAAGTGTATATATCATAATAACTATTCATAGGAATAGAGCTACTATGCTGTGCCTCAGAGAGAAAGTAAAAACTGCTTACATCTTTTTGAATACTTTTAAATTTGTCATTGTGTAAACTGTTGTTTCATTAACAAATAAATAATATAACATTAAAATGCACTTCTTTGTGAATGAAAACAAGAATAAGAACTTCTTTTGCTCTCTTTTCCCATAATTTGCTATTATAGTGCCAGAATAAACATGCCAGGACCATTCATTACTTGTTGGAATATGTGCATTTTTAATGGGAAGCTTAATGATTTGCACAACCAAATGGACAATCATACTATTTCATAATATATCATTGATTAGCATTGAAAATAAATCTACAATATTGTTAATAATGACTCATCAAAATAAAAGAGAAGTAAATTTGACACTAACCAAAAGCATATCTAAATTTCAAGGAAGAAATGGGAATTATTGTTCTGATGCCTATGTTGCCCTGTTTCTTGATTTATTAATTATGCCAAGTCTAACAACAAATATAATTAAAACAAAGTAGGAGGCTAGCAGGACTTTAAGTGATCTGAAACTGCTTTTCAAAAGTGTAGACATGGACCAGGCCAAACATTTGGATTCAGTCAAAGGACTGCATTCAAGGACCTAGAGGGCCACATGTGACCTTGAGGCCGCAGGTTCCCCACCCTTGATATAGACCGAGTATATGCTTGTGAAAGGTCATGCTGTAAGTATAACTTGGTTGTTAAATGAATCCTTACTTTGCTTGTAATGTTTTTCAGAATTAAGGAAAATAGTAAGTAAACATTTGAAGTTTAAAGTCAGTTATAACAAAATTTTATATCTTTAATAGAAAAATCAGAGCATATGAAACATTAATACTGTATTCTTCCAGGAGTCATAGACAATATGTTATATGTTCTGATCTGTAAACAGATATTCTCTAATACTCTTTCAGTTATTGAATTTTCACTGTACTTATCAAACTTAATTTAAAATACCTTATAAAAGTTAATAATCTAATGAAATAAAATTTATAAGATACCAAAAGTTTTCAGGACCATTAAGACATATTTAGTGCATTTAAATAGAAATTTACTATTAGTGCCGTAGGACATTGAAAGTATAATTTCTCTTAACAATACCTTTCAAGAGACACGTGAAATGAAGTGCCTGCTTTGTAAGGCCCTTTGGTAAGTGCTGGACAAAAACAGAAACAGGAGAAAAGAAAAGTCCTTGTCCTCAAGGTGGTTGTATTATACTGGGGGGATAAAACATGTAATTGGATAATTATTTCAGGGAAAGGATACCCATAACCACAGTGATATGGACAGAGATAGTACCTGAGCCGAGCCTTGAAGGAAGATAAAGATACCAACAAATTGGAGGTGAAGAGGGAATGTAGCCCTCTCCATACATGGCGGCATCCTGGCTTCCTGGCTGTTCCTCACCGCCAGTGCTCCATCTCCTGTGTCCGTTCATTTCTTTACATTGGCTCTCTGCCCCCCCACCTCCATGGAAATACTCTCTCTCTTCTCCACTCTCAGAACCCCTGCTGTCCTTCCAGATTCAGCTCAAACGCCAAAAACCTTTCCCAGCTTCCCCAGCTCTCCTAGTGTTTTCTGCTCTAAAGTTGCTTTGTATAGAAGCTGTATGTGTCTTATGTATACCTATCACATGCTGTCTGCCCCATTAGAATGTAAGGCCCTTGAGTACAGGACCTATTTTTGCTTTTGGTTTTAGCACAGTACCTGGCGCAGAGGAAATATTTAGTAAATGCTTGTTGATTGGTTGGTTGATGGGGAACAGCCTGTACAAAAACATAGAGGCTTGGGATGCCAAGTTCAAGGCCAAGCCAGTAAGCCAGTTTGGCTGCAATGTTGAGGCCAGGCCAAAGGCTGGAGGCAGATTGTGCTGGAGAACAGTTCAGTATGCCTGTTACCAGACTTAGAGACCATTTGACACTCCAGAGTCATCTTTTCTTGCATCATGCCCTTCTAATGTTCTACTTTGTTACTTAAGCATTCTCTGTAGCCAGCCTAAATATGTTACACCTGATAGGTAGGATGTTTTTTCCATAATTTCCCCCTTTTTGAAACTTTAGAAACCATTGGTGATGTTTATTGTGTATGAAAGTCACAGCTGTTTTTGTTTGTGTACGTCCTTTGGCCAAAATCCATTCAGTAAGTTTCACTAGTGCATATGTAGCAACTTTCTCAGCTTGTTTCAGGGCACCCAAAAGAAAGGCTGATCAAAGGCTTAGCTGATGAGAAAACCGTCCTCCATTTCAGCGTCTGACATTGAGTCTGCGCCGGAGAGCCCGAGACAGCCTTTACTCTTTTCCATGTTTATAGCATTTGTTGAGCCAGTTCCGGAAACTGGCTGTTTGACCCTGGTGTTTTATTCTTGTTTTTAGGCCACTTGTGAGAGAGCTTATTTAAAATTCTGAACCCTTCTGTGGCAGCCACAGTGTTGAGGTTCTTTGGCAACTGAAGTCTAAGGAAAAGCTCTGTTTCCACTG